GCCAGATCCAGAGCTCCAGAGGCACCTGAGGGAGGGGGATAGAGGGTCAGATCCAGAGCTCCACAGGCATCTGTGGCAGGGGGATACAGAGCCAGATCCAGAGCTCCAGAGGCAGCTGTGGAAGTGCTGGTGCTCAGCACACCAACCCCTTGCTTTAACCACACAGTCCTGCTGGAGCAGGGAAGAGGTTTAGGATCCTCCCTGCTCTCCAGGTGGGCGAGATCAAGGGCCCTGTGTCTTGTAAGAGGGGAAGAAGAGGCAGGGAACACACACAGCTCCAGAGAATCTGTCCTGTGAGCTGCTCCAAAACACAGCAAACATCCTCCAACGCATCCCGGAGCTCCTCATGGAGGAGCCAGGATGGGCTCAATGGCTCCTTTTCCCCTTGTCCCTTTTCACACTGGGCAGGCCCCACCTGCCTGGATGTCACCCTGCAGACAGGGACCAAGCCTGGCTGCTCATGGAGTGAGGAATGAGCACTGGGAGTGCCTGGAGCAGGGAATGGTGCACAGGGGTGATGCAGGGGAGCTGAGGGGATTTGGGGGCCGGTCACAGGGCACCACAGCTCTCAGGGCCACAGGCTATTAAGCCAGCTGGATTTTTTCCAATCTCCCTGTATTTAAGTGGGACCCCTGCCAGCATCCACAGCGCTTCCCCGGTCCCCAGAGCTCCCCACAGCACCCACTGGGCTTCCTGCCCCCAACTCCACCAGCTGGGGGGAGAGGAAGGACCCCCCCCAGCCCGGACAGCCCGCTGAGACCCCCCAGTCTCCGCAGCAGCTCCCACCCCCAGCCCACGGAGGTTGCACCGCTGGGGAAGGGAGGTGTGGGAGGGAAATTCCTGCTGTTCACATGCAAAGATGCTCAGCTTTGCCTCAAGTGCCCCATTCCCTCGGCTGCCGCGGGGGAGCTTCGGTCTGGCAAAGCTGAGCAGCATCGCTCTGACTCACTCTGGGGATGGTCCTTAGGTTGGAAAAGACCCTTAAGAGAGAGGAGTCGTTGGGAGGGGGGGGGGTCACAAAATGCCCCCAGCCCGACTGCTGCTCTCCAGGGGAAAAGGAGTCACCGCTGCTTCCTCCACTGCCCACGCACACTCCCAAAACAAAGCAAGGCAGGGGCGGGAGGCGCGGGGCAGTGCCCAGGGAACAGCAAAGCAGAGAGCTGGACACCAGGGCCACGGGCAGAGCCCTCCCCGACAGCCCTCGGACCGCCGTGCTGCGGGATCCGGGGTGAGGACTGGAGCAGGATGAGACCCCCCGGAGCACCGGTTCAGGGAGGGGAGTGCGCAGGGGGGCAGAGGAGGAGCTGATGTGCTGGGCTAACCCAGGGCACAGGGCAGCCCCCGTGCCCCCCGTTCACAACCCCAGCAGGGACTGGGGGGGAGCGAGCGGAGGTAAAGCCCTTCCTGCAGCACAAGGTCAGTCCCCGCTAGAGCAGCGCGTCTGTCCGATTCTTCGACAGCAGCGGCAGCGCTGCCTCGCCTGTCTCTGCCGCTCCCCGGCGCCGGCAGCTCAGCCTGCAGAGCTGTGCCTGCGAGCAGCACCTCGGCCCCAAGGCTTGGCCCTCAGCCCCAGCATCGCTGGCCTCCAGCAAGCCCTCTGTCCCCCGCCGCGACCCCTTCCTCAGGACCCCCACGCCTGGCCCCAAAGAGAGCTCCTTCCCACAAAAAGGAGAGCTTTCACCACACCCCCCCCTTAGTCCCCTCCACCCCCAGCAACGCTCTGCTCGCCCCAAGTCTGTCGCCTCACCTTCCTCCCCTCATCCCAAAGGGGCTCCCCCTCTCCTGCCCGCAGTGCCTCGTCCTGGAGCACAGGCTCCCTGTGCCCCGCAGCCCACCCAGCCCCAAGTACTCCTCTAATGAGGGCTCTTCATTAGGGCCACCATCACCCTTCAGCCAAACCCTCCCCTGCACTGACCAGGCTGTTTCCAAGCTCTTACACCCCACAAAGCACCCAATGCCAGGTTAACCCCGCGTCTCCGGGGGGATCACTGAGCTCTGCCAGACCCCCACCACGCCGCCCTCTGCCCGCCCTGTGGCACATGTGCCACCCTGGCTAACACCTCACAAAGCCCGTGCCCCCCCGGGTCACACCCGCGCTCCTGGGAGGCCACACCAGCGTGTCCCACCTGTGTCACGGGCACCACGACGCGGCACCTCGCACCTCGCTGTGCCACCGTCCGGCACAGCAGAGCACCCGGCACCCACCGCACGAACCACGAACCACCACGGCCACGGCATCGGGCACAGCCCGCGCACACGGGCCACCGTCAGACCCCGGCGCTGTGGCTCCCGAGCTCCCGCAGCCCGGCCCAGCTGCTGCTGGAGCCGATCCCGGTGCAGTTCTGGTACCGGCCCCAGGCTGGTGCTGGAGCCTCCTGAGCCGCACCCGCTCCCCGTTCCCAGCCCCGCCGTCCCCCTGGAAGCGGGACACAGCCCGGTCCCGGCCGGTGCGGGGACCGGCGGCGGGAACGGCCCCGCGCTGCGGCCGCACCGGGGCCCCGGAGCCCCCCGGGGAGGCAGCGCTGCCGCCGGGGCTGCCCGCGCCGGGCTCTGCGGGGAACGGGAGGGGGACACCGGGGGCACCGGGGACGGGGACACCGGCGACGGGGGGAGCGGGGATGGCGACACCGGGGAGTGGGGAAGGGGCTCTGGGGAGTGGGGCAATGGGGAGCTGGGGCAGCGGAAAGGGGGCACCAGGGACGGGGGCAGCGCAGAGCGGGACAGCGTGGAAGCGGCACGGGGGAGCGGGGCAACGGGGACCCGTCCCGCCGGGCCCGTGGCCGGTCGCCCCTCGCCCGCGGCGGTGCGAAGTTTGCCGGGTGGTGCCGGGGCGGGAGCCGTGGCGGAGCGGGGCCGGCACCGCTCGGGGTGCGGGTCGGGGGAGCGGGTCGGGGGCGCCGGGGATGCGGGTCGGGAGCGCCGGGGACGCTCATCAAGGTGCGGGTCGCGGCCGGTGGGGCACTCACCGTCTGCTGCAGGTCGGGGATGCCGATGCGGACGACGATGGCGCCGGGCGCGGGTTCCTCCATGCGCGCCGGGGCCGCCAGCTTGGGGGAGCGGGGCCCGGCGGGGCCCCGGGCCGGGTCGAGCCGCGTCTCCTCCCGCAGGCCGGCGCTCGGCTCCCCGGCGGCGGCGGCGCGGGGCTGGCGCTCCGGCAGCGGCTCCGGCGGCGGCGAGTCGGGGCTCTCATGCTGGCTGCCGGCGGGGCTCAGAGGCATGCTCCGTGCGGCGCGGCGGGCGGCCGGCACCCGCACCGCCACCGCCACCGCCGGCCGCGCTCACAGCCCGCCCGGGGGCCCTGCGGGGGCAAGGACACGCTGTCACCCCGGGGCACCCCCGGCTGGGACACCC